AAAAAAAAAAAAAAAAAAAAAAGAAAAGACTTTAAATGACACAAAGTATAAGCAACATCTTATGATTGTGAGGAATACCATTCTTTTGATATTATCCACAAATACTTTTTTTTGAGTTGGAGTCTCACTCCATTGCCCTGGCTGGAGTGCATCAACCCGTTGGACTCCAGCGATCCATTCACCTCAGTCTTCCAAGAAGCTGGAACTACAGGCACATGCTATCACACCCATTGTAGAGATGAGGTCTCGCCAAGTTGCCCGGGCTGGTCTCGAACCCTCGGGCTCAGGCAATCCACTCACCTCAGCCTCCCAAAGTGCTGAGATTACAGGCTGAGCCACCAAGCCCAGCCCACAAATACTTTTTAGAACCATTCACTAAAGGCATAATCTTCATTATTCCTTGATAGTCTCTTATGTATGTAAATTATTTGGCATGGTTTATTTTCCCTGACAATAAGGCAACTTCAGGATTACATTCAATTAAAAATTCATGCTGATCAAATTTTATACTTTAAATATGTACAGTTTACTATATGCCACATATCTCAATAAAGCTGTTAAAAATCATATGCTAGCTAGAGTCAGGGAGGTTTTGTTTCATTTGTGTCTGGTTTTGTGTGTGTGAGTGATTTTCTATACTCCAAATGCTGAGCAAAATAAATAAATAATTCTTTTTAAAAAATTCTATGTATCTGTTGGCTGCTTTTATCTGTTGTCTTCTTTTAAGAAGTGTCTATTCATATCTTTTGCCCACTTTGTAATAGGACTGTTTGTTTTTTTCTTTTTAGCATGTTTGAGTTCCTTGTAGATCCTAGATGTTAGGCCTTTGTCAGATATACAGTTGGCAAGTATTTTGCCCCACTCTGTGGGCTGTCTCCCCACTCACTTGATAGTTTCTTTGGCTTTGTAGAACCTTGTCAGTTTGATAAGGTGCCACTTGTCTACCTTGTCTCTTATGGCATGGGCACTTAGGGTTTTGATCGGGAATTGGTTGCCAGTTCCAATTTCCATAAGGGTGTCTCCCACATTTTCTAAGGTTCTTATAGTTTGAGGTTTTACGTTTAGGCCTTTGATCCATTTACAGTTGATTTTGTGTATGGTGATAGGTTGGGGTTCTGTGGTCAACCAGTTTTCCCAGCACCATTTACTGAATAATTTCTCCTCTCCCCAGTGGGTGTTACTGGAGGCTTTGTCCACAAGGAGTTGGTTGAGAAATCAAAGTTTTGATTCTGGAATCTCTATCCTGTTCTATTAGTCTATATGTCTGTTCTTGTACCCATACCAGGTTGTTCTGATTATTGTAGCCATATAATAAAGTTTAAAGTCTGGATGTGTGATGACACCCAGTTTGTTTCTTTTGTTGGGAATTGTTTTGGCTATTCATGGTCATTTATGATTCCATATGCATTCCTGTATTGTTGTTTCCAGGTCTGAGAAGAATGTTGCTGGTAATTTAATGGGTATTGTGCTAAATCTGTAGACTGTCTTGGGTAGGATGGATATCTTAACAATGTTGATTCTTCCAATCCATGAGTGTGGAATATTTTTCCATTTGTTTGTGTCATCTTTGATTTCTTTGAGCAGTGTTTTGTAGTTTTCATTGTAAAGGTCTTTCACTTCTCTGGTTAGGAGGATGCTGAGGCATTTTTCTCTTTTTGTATGTCTTTTTATTTGTTTCTCTGCCTGTTTATTGTTGGTGCATAAGAATGCAACTGTCTTTTGCATATTGATTTTGTACCCTGAGACTTTGAAAAAATGCTCAGCCTCACTAATCATCAAAGAAATGAACCACATTGAGATACAACCTAACTCCAGTCAGGATGGCAGTCATCAATACTTAAAAAAACAACAGATGCTGGAGAGGATGTGGAGAAAAGGGAACACTTCTATACTGTTGGTGGGGGTGTAAACTAGTACAACCTCTGTAGAGAACAGTGTGGCAATTCCTAAAAGATCCAAAAAATCGACCTCTCATACGACCCAGCAATCCCCCTTCTGGGAATATACATGGAAAACTCAAATCATTCTTTAAAAAAGATACCTTATGTATGCATGTGTATAACAGCACTATTCACAATAGCAAAAATATAGCACCTACCATGCTGCCCATCGAAAGTAGACTGGATTTTTAAAAATGGTACATATACATGATGGAATATTACACAGCCATAAAGAAGGACAAAATTATGAACTTCACAACAACTTGGATGGATTTAGAGTCTGTAATACTCAGTGACCTATCACAGAAACAAAGAACTGAATATCACATGTTCTCACTCATTAGCAGACCCTGAAAAATTATGATAATACTGCAAGAAAGGTATTGGCAGTAGTGGGAAACTACCGGGGGTGGGGGCATACTTCATCAATAAGGGCACCTGATCTCAAACCAAGTGAAGTGGGGAACAATGTGAGGCCCAAACTTTACTGTACAATGACCATTTGTATACCTAACCCTGAATTATACCCTACATCTTTAAAATTTAAAAAAAATCCAAACTATGATAATTCTAAATATTATGGTTTTTCCTATTTGGAAAAATTATCTTGTTTTAGAATCATTACTACACTTCAATTTTGAAAAATAGTTACTAACAAATTTCCTTTCTTGACTTAATCTAATTGATTCTTGGTCAAATATTAGGACCACTACTCAATTTCTTATCAGGATAAAACTGAAGACAAAATAATGAGTCAAAATGTTTAAATATAAAGAGAACTTTTTATTAGTTGTTTTCTAGTCACTCGAAAAAAAGATCTGAATTGAGTGCTTCCTCCACACAAAGCAACGTGCTGAGTACCAAAGATACCAGGATGAACAAAACAACCTTGGTCTCTGCTTGTTGGTGGAGGAATTTAGCTCACATTCCCTTGTAGGCAAGAAACTAGCCAAATGAGAAACAAATGCTATGAAGTAAACAAGCAATCAGCTGAGAGAAATTATTTGAAAATAAGGAAGGGAAACCTTTAGAAAAAGCCAAGTTATCTCTAAGAAATGGAAAAGAAAGACTTTCTTTAGGTAAAGGGAAGTCTCTATTAAAAAAAAAAAAAAAAAAAAAATCTAGCCAGGATGTCTGTAACCCCAGCACTTTAGGAGACGGAGGCAAGAGGATTGCCTGAGGCCACCAGTTCAAGACCAGCCTGGGCAACTTGGCAAAATCTCATCTCTACAATAAAATAAAAAATTTAGCCGGGCATGGTAGCACGCACCGGTAGTTCCAGCTACTTGGAAGACTGAAGTGAAAGGATCATGTAAGCCCAGCAGGTCGAGGCTGCAGTGGCTGTGAGCGTGCCACTGCACTCCAACCTGGGTGACAGAGTGAGACTCCGACCCAAAAAAAAAAACTTTAAGCATTAAAAGGGAGATAGAATTTTAGATAAAGTAGTCAGAGAAGTTATCTCTAATGAACTCATCAAAAAAGTGAAATGTACAGGATCAGAAGGAGGATGCCTAGGAAGGTTTGTGTGTTGGGATGGGGAGGGTAAGGACGAGGAAGTGGAATGGAGAAGCAGATGGGGGCATCCTGGGCAGAGCTAGAAAGATTCTGAATTGAGCCTCCAGGAATTATGAGGTGTGGCTGAGGGAGAGAGCCAGTTGGGAGTGGCCAAGATAAAGTCTGGAGCTGGCAACAAAGTCAAACCGGGCCTCTCAGCCATGGTTAAACTTGGGATTTTATCCTAAGGCTCTTTTGAAGCCACTGAATGTTTTCAAAAACATGACATCATCTAACAAAGAAAACTAAACTTCAAGCCTATGGGGAAAGCATTAAGAGAGAGAGAGAAAAAGGAAGGAAGAGTCAGGCAGCAGCTCAGGGAGCAGGTGACAGTGGTCGGCAATGGGATGGTGGGAGGAGAAAGAGATTTGTGGCAGGTGTGAGAAACATCTGAAGAGAAATAAACAGGAAGAACTGGGGGCTCAAATACAGGGTTCGTAACCAGCCAGGCTCGGTGGCTTAGCCTGTAATCCCAAGCTTTGGGAGGCCAAGGTGAGTGGATTGCCTGAGCCTGCGGGTTCAAGACCCGCCTGGGCAGGCGAGACCTCATCTCTACAATAAATCAAAAAACTAGCCAGGTGTGGTAGCGCGTGCCTGTAGTTCCAGCTACTTGGAAGGCTGAGGTGGAAGGATCGCTGGAGACCAGCAGGTTGAGGCTGCGGTGGCCGGGAGCGGCCACTGCACTCCAGTCTGGGCGACAGGGTGAGACTCCAACTCAAAAAAAAAAAAAAAAGAATGGAACCTAAGTTCCTTCTTGAGTGCCTAGATAGAAGAAAAGTCTAGAGGGAAGAGAAGCAGAGGGTTTAGGATTAAGAATATGCTGGAAATAGGACTTCAGTTCTCAATTTGCTAGCCTGAGATGTCTATGAGATGCCTAATTGGCAGTCTGGAGCCCTGAAGAGAGTTTTGCCTGTGAGAAAGTGTGTGGAATATCAGAACACAGATGGAGTTGACCCAGACGAAGCCTCAGAGATACCAGGGCTAACAAGTGAGCTCTGAGGGGCAGTAGCATTCAGGAGTCAGGAAGAGAAGGAGGATCTAACCAAACAGACTCTCAGTCTTTCTTCTCAAGAAACTGATTGGCATAGGAAGAAGAAAAAAAAAAACAAGACACAGGTAGACACAGACAACTCCAAAACGCATGGCCATCACCATTTCATTTCATTAAACACTACATCACTTAAACTCTTGGGGCAAAGGAAACATTTACAATTGCTTTTCGC